ATAAACACTTGAAAATAGATGGTCTTGATGATATATTAAAAGATGGGATTGTCTATAAAAAGATCATTTATATTTTGTACATGAAAATCACAATCATTCTTGTCCCTTAAATTTCAAAATGGGTATATGTAAAAGTGTCATTGAATAGACACAAAGTTCCAAAAAAAAAAAATCATACTTAGTAAGTCACCTCAAGCTATCTAATTTGACATCTAATGAGTGGAAATGATTATGACTCCCATGTACAAAATATAAAGGGTACGATTTGTGTACAGCCCAGGCTCTAAACAATTAAAGTAAAGCCCACTTTCAAATAGTGTAAAAAAATATGCTTTCAATACTAGAAATCTTTGTAATAAGCCTTAAATATATTTTAATCTCTAATTATAAAATTTAAAGCTTAAAAAATACTGTAGATCGAGCAGATCTATGAAAACATGAAAATCTTGAAAATTGACAATCCAAAAATGCGTTACAAGATGCGCTATTTACAGAACTTAAAATCCATTTTTTTCTTATGTCCATGCATCTTGATGTTGAGACGATCAATTTGATGTGCGTTTTAATTTGAAGATGATCAATTTGATGTGCGTTTTAATTTGATTGTTTAGAGCCTCGGCTCTATATAAACTTTTTTACAAAGATGAATAAGACAATGCCTTGCAAGATACACTACCACTAAGGACTTAATCCTTTTATTGAAATGTTGTTGATCTGCCGATGATCAATCTAAGAACTTTCCCATGTCAAGTCTATATCTTTGCCGAAGTTTTGAGGAGCACCTTTACTTTTTGTAGTAAAGCATCGCCTTATATAAACCTTTGAAAAGCAAGGATTCAAAGGACTTGCTATTAACCAAATAACCAAATTTTGAATAAAAATTTGGATATTAAATTGAAAATTTATAATTGCTTTGGATTCCCAATGGCATCCGATTTGGTGTTTGGTTTGACAATTGGGCTTACAAGTGATTTGGAAGGTCGATTTGGTTGATCTTGGTATAAATTAACTATATGGGGATCATATTTTTCTGTACATCTATGCATACTCATAGCAGAATGTGTTGGGATTTGTACTCTTAATTCATTATCTTATTTGGTAATTTGAGAATGCTTATAATGTCTCCATTCCCTGATAAAATGATCTTTTTAGTATCGGCCTAAATGACTTAGCTAAACCCCCTGAATCTAAAGTTACTTGCGGCTCCAACTCAGTTCCAACAAGAAAATTAAATTTTGAAGTCTTAAATGCTTTTTTGCCTTGAAATTGTTTCATCGTCAAAAGAAAAATTTGAAAGAGAACCTTCTTGAACTAAGAGGCTGGTGCGTTGATTATAATATTAAGAGAAATTTATGACTTTTTTTTTTGGTTAAGTCAATGAAAAAAAAAAAAAAAAAAAAAGTAAATTAATGGGAATTTGGACCCCTACCATTTGGTAAGAATGAAGTGAGAGAAATTATCATGGGGCAGAAAATACCCAAATAAGTACTCTAGTAATTTAAGACATTTAAATTTAGTGATGCACCTATCTCGAAAGACCATGTTACTGAGTCAATCTTCTCTTTTTCTATCAAGCTAATGTTTTTCACTATTCTAACCAAATCAATCTAATTATTTTATTTTAATTTATCAAATAATTGGCAAAAAAACCAAGGCATTATGTATATAGGGTTGCCAATAGGCCAGGCCAGGGCGAGCCTAAAGCCCGAAGTCCAATAAGGCTTGAAACTGCCCATGCCTGGCCTGAAATTTGTTCGTAAAAATCCTGGCCCAGCCCAAAACTGCAACAATAAAGCCTGGTCCGGCCTGGCCTAATAAGACTCTATTGGGTTGTGTTGGGCCCAAGCCGGCCCATTTAGAAGCCTCTTATTTTATTAATATTATTATTATTATTATTATTATCTCACTCTTCATACTTTTTTGGGTAGTAAGCAAAAAAATAAAATTTGGGTAGTAAACAAAAAAAGAAAAATATATGCAAATAATTTTTAGAAAGAGAAAGAGATATTGGGTATTTAGAAAAATATAATGGGTTATGCAGAGAGATTCGGTTTTAGAGAGAAATAGGGATTGGGTTTTTAGAGAGAAGGACATATTGGTTTCCTATATAGAAAGCATGAGTTCTTAAAGAGAGAAACTGAGTTTCTAGAGAAAGAGTGGGTTTTAGAGATAGTAAGTGAGAGAAAGAGTGGGTTTTAGAGATAGTAAGTGAGATTGGGTTTCTAGAGAGAGAGAGAATAAGTATTTAGAGAGAGCAAGAGAGATTGGGGAGCAAGATTGGGCTTTAGAGAGAGAGAGATTGTGTTTCTAGAGAGAGAAAATAGGTTTTTATAGAGAAAATAGATTTTTAGAGAGAGAAAGAGAGATTGGTTTTTAGAGAGAGAATGGGTTTTTAGAGAGATTGAATTTTTAGAGGGAAAATGGGGTATTGGAGAGAGATTAGAGTTTAGAGAATAAAAGAGATTGGAATCCTAGAGAGAGATTGGAGTCCTAGATAGAGAGTAGGTTTTTAGTGACAGAAAGAGGGATTGGAATTTTCGAGGAAAAGAGTTATAGGTTTGCAGAGATAGAGATAGCATACATTTTTAACAAGAGAGATTGGGTTTCTATAGAGATTGGGTTTCTAAAGAGAGAAAGAGAGATTAGTTTTTTAGAGAAAGAGAGAAAGATTGGGTTTCTAAAGAGAAAGACAATGAGTTTAGAGAGAGAAAAAGAGATTGAGTTTTTAGAGAGAAACAATGGGTTTTTAGAGAAAAAGAGAGATTGGATTTCTAGAGAGGACGAGAATGGGTTTTAAATTTTTAAAAAATATTTTAGCATCCAATTATTCTATTTTAATTTTGGCCTACTAGGAACAAGAAAAGTTTGAAGAATGAATATTTAACCCAAAAAAAAAAAACACTCTAAACGGGCCGGGCCATGCTTTTATTTGGGCCTGGCTGCAATATTTTC